GAAGATGGAAATTTTTTTTCGGAATTGGTCCACAGTTGATCGATCTAGACCCATGTGATTGATCATGACCACGTGACCTGCGTGATTGATACAGTTTCACTTAAATGATAAACAAAACCTTTGGTGTATTCAGAGCAATTTGAAATAACTAGCAGAGAAATAACTAGCACTAATATATATATAATAAAGAATACACTATATAAAGAATAAGATAAGAATAAAAATATAGATAGATAATACATAAAACATAATTCTAACTTTAATCTGCAATACCTTATACATATTATAAGCTTCGTTATTTATTTATTTTACATTTCTACTTTAAAAATAGTAACATGCTCATAATTAATTTCTCTGAACTACATCATTTCAAAATTAATCTTTGTCATATGATTCTCAATTACACTCATGATACATATACTTATAAAACAACAGATGTTAAATTTTGTTAACCAAATCTAAAAATAACCAACAGACCTGCTAGTTTGTTTTCTTCTGCTGTTCTTTCGTCAAATATATTATAAAACTATGAAAAGTACGGATATAGTTATTTAAACTTCTATTACCATACAGATCATGGTAAAAGTTTACAATTAGGTGCCCCTTGTTTTTTGGCGATTCTTTTTTGACGCCAAGATAATGGACAGGAAGGCACAATTTCAAGATGGCCGCTACATAAAACCAAAATAAAAAGTCAAAGAATTGCACAAACTCTGTGTCCATGTAAACATCGATCTATTTTCACTTTAAAAAACATCCCAGAACTGCACAAACTAGGCATTGCGCACTGCCTTAAATTTGTCCATGTACATATCAAACTATTTTCATTTAAAAAAAAATCAGGAAGCTAAAACAAAGTTAAAACTATCATGGTAACCATAAATGAGGTTTCATCGCCAAAATTTAAAAAAAAAAAAAAAAAAAAATTATTGCTAATCGAAGGGGCATCCAATTCTACACTAGAGCCCAGATCATCACCAAATTACTTATTAATATATTCCAAATATAAACAAAGTTTAGTAATTCAGGGCTGTTGGCCATCCCTATGATTGCCACCCCCAAAACTTAAAAACATTTTCAATGATTAATAAAATTTTTATTTCATATTCACTAAGTACTTATACATACGACAAATTGTATAGCTCTAGTTTGGGTGCGCTTTCGATTTGCGACAAGTTTTGGCGATGAGGCCCCATTTCTGGTTACCATGATAGTTTTAACTTTGTTTAACCCTCCTGATTTTTTTAAGTGAAAATAGATTGATGTGTATATGGACAAAGTTAAGGCAGTGTGCAATGCCTAGTTTGTGCAATTATCTGATGTTTTTTTAAGTGAAAATAGATCAGTGTGTACCCGGACATCGAGTTTATGCAATTCTTTGACTTTTTATTTTGGTTTTGTGTAGTGGCTATCTCGAAATTGTGACTTCCTGGCACTGATCTTGGCCTCAAAAAAGAATCGCAATAAAAAAAAAAAAAAAAAGGAGGCACCCAATTGTAAACTTTTGTATAAAAAGTACGGCTAAATTGCAGAATCGACCACTTATTTGTTTGGTGCTTTTTACAAGAGTAAGAAGAATTGGATTTTTGTCAATTTTCTTTGACTTTTTAAAAGAAAATAGATTGATGTGTACATGGATAAAGTCAAAAGTGTGCGCAATGCCTTTTTTGTGCAATTCTGGAATTTTTTTTAAAGTGAAAATAGGTCGACGTGTACATGGATACTGCGTATGTGCAATTCTTAAAAACGTGCCAAGCAGTGGGCGAATCGCACTTTTACCAAAAGTACTTACACATGACGAGTACTTACAACGAATTTAAAATATTTAGTCGTGATATCGCGAGAGTCCGGACGCCCCTGATTTTCGCAGCTTACTTCTACGCGCTGCACCCCCGCTAAGAATGTCCCTGTAGTAATTTAATTTTTTGCGTTATATATATATCATTTTGACAATCTGTAACCTCTTTAATGGATACTGAGAGGTAAAGAAAACTTAAAGACAGCCCTAAGCGACAAAAGTTTTGGCTACATTACTGTACCCAGAACGTTAATCCTTGTAAAGGTTTTCTACAATGCACATGTTGCAAAATTCCAAAGCAACTGCAAAGCTAACTCGAAAGTCCTAGTATATGGTGCAGCCTTGGCGCAATTTTGAAAATTATCGTCAACACCAAAAATGATACAAAGAAGGTCTATGTACATACTATACACTATATACATAGTATATACTATGTATAACTATATATATTCTTTGAATGGCCCGTTTATATCGTATATGTCCCGTTTTTACTGCTCATCATAAAGTCGCCAAAAGTAGTCAAATCCCATGTGCACCGGATACTAGGATTAGACCGCTAACTCTATTACGGAACAGCTTTAATATTGGTCCTTTTGGCGATTTTTTTATTTGGCGACAAACTTCGGTCGCCAAGGTAGACCCGGTTTTGAAGATCGGAAAAAAATGGTGGACTGTCAACAAAACCCGATCTAGACTAAATAACAATCCTAAAAAATAAGCTCTTAATCAGAATAAACAGTCTTTCTCTAATTTTCAATATTTCAAGTACTGCTATGGATAAATTCTTGAAACACTACTGTAAATGAATTTATGACAATTATTATGTTATGAGTAATGAAATTTACAAAATGTTAATATTTTTTAATTACAAAATATATGTATTAAACATTAATATTTTAAGTAGTTAGTTCATATTTATTCTTTATATTAGTACTTAGCTAATATTTTTAAATTTACAAAAGGTTAATTTTATGTTTTGATACTGAAATTTACAAAAGGTTAATTTTTATGTTTATGAATAATGAAATTTACAAAGGTTAAAAAATGCATTTCAAACTAGTATATGTTACTTTAGTTTCTTAGATGCTGTTATTAAAAGAAAATAAAAAAATATTTCAAACTGAAGGAAATCAAATTCAATTATAATGGGCAAGTTTTGTACCAGTGTTAGAAATATTTTTTATGATTAAATTTTGTAAATGGTAAAATATTAAGAAGTGCGTATTTTTTAATCCTCAATTTATTACAAGTAATTTATGATTATAATTTAAAAGCTAAAATTAAATTATCATAATGAGTAAATTTTGTACCAATGGTACTAATACAACAATCATCGTAATGATAATTTCTGTGAAAAATTCGAACAGTCATTGGAATCCACTAGTGGTGGAGTGATAGCCACTGAACAGTGGTAGTTCAGGCTGGCTATATGGGAGTTTTAGTAGTTTTCCGTAGATGTAATATGAAATCTGAGCCAGTTTCTCTGAAAAAGTACTTTATGAAGCATCCTTCTTCTGCTAGCCAGCATATGTATTTATTTTCTATTCATAATTCTCTCTCTTATTTTCTTATTTCTTAATTCTAATCTTACTTCTGAAGAGAAAAGTGTTGCATCTATAGGTCGAAAAATACGGTCAATATATTTGCAAAATCCTGTCAGTTTTTTGGAAAGCATTTAAATAAACTAAATACAAAAATGCATTACACAACTATTTCATGTACTGAATAATTAATCAGGGAACAAAGTATAATGTAAGGTTACATTATTTTGTAACCAGAGTTAATTTATGTTTGGGATCTTTACTGTCAATTTTCCTCCATCCGTTTTCTCACCAGAATCCAATTGAAGTGTTTTAGTTTGTAAAACAAACCGTGTTTTGCCTTTTGAGGCCACGTTAATAGGTTGCTAGATAAGAAAAGATTCTGTAGTCTTCAGTCTTGCAGTTATAATTGCCGATAGTTGAATTCCATGCCAGTAAGTTCCATACGAACTTCACATTAAATTGATTTGTGCGTAGCCTTTGGCTGCTAGTTTATTTGAATTTGAAATTTTACATTAATTTTACATTTGAACTTAATTGATAATAGTTACCTTGCCATAAGTAGTTGACTGAGTCATAAGCACAAAGTGTGCCTTCTGTTCTGCACATCTAAACTTTATAATAAAATAAAAGTATAACTTAACTTAATAAGAATATATCTAAACTTTTTATGATAATAACATTTAAAGACATTAAAATCATTATCTAAGTGCTTCCCATGTAGTCAAATTTTTATATATAAATTGTACTCTTACTTTTATTATAGAGTTTTTATTACAAAAATTCAGATTTCTGTTAGATAAAATGTTTAAGTAATGTAGAAATTTGCATAAAATTTAAAATAAAAAGTCAACTGTTATGTCAACATACTATTAATAAAAGTAATAATACTCAGTGAAGGTTATTCACATACAGCTGTTAGGTTGTAAGATTTACAAAATTTGAGAACTCTAAATTATAAGCAATATATTCCATAATCTAAGCAACATTATATTTTTTATAGTCAGACAAATTATGAAAATGTTATAAAAGCAATAATGAAACCTGATTTTGGTCTTGATTTGAACCTATGAATTCATGCAATTACACATACCTTTAGTTCTAATATGAGGTAAATAAGTATTTTTAGACCATGGTAATTTTGATCTCCTTAGCAAAGGAAACACAAAGAGTTTACCTCATGCTACTGAAAATGTGTTTTTTTTTTCCTTGGGGGGGGGGGGGAGTTTATAAGAATATGCAGAGTTGACATATGAAAAAATGTCAAGACTCATGTGATGTAATATTAAAAGCACTAGTTTTAACTATCAAAAATTTGGCTTTTTTAAAAAAAATTTAAATGTTGTGCTTTCCTAACACAAAAGTAACTTTAAGAAAAACACCAATTTCTCTTTCTTTCCTGCCATCAAAGCTCTGATACCTATCAAATCAATTCGTTAAAGTTACGTGGACAGAAATGGCGGCATGTTTGAAGCTCAGTATTTAAGGTTACCAAGGTTATCATAATTTTTCATTTATCGCTCCAAAATGTCGCCAAACAAATTTCTCGCCAAAAAGGACTAATACTAAAGCTGTGCCTCTATTACTTCCGAAATAAATTCGAATTTTAAAAAAATAAAGAAATCATTAATTTAAAATGAGATAACAATAATCCTATATACCTTCCCCGCAAGGATTTCTAATTAAATTTCTTCCATACGGATTGAACAAGTAAATTAATTGGTAATAATGTACTGGAAGATTTCGAAGTTTAAGTGAAGGAACCGTTTTTCTCTCTCGTTCACATTTGATTTTCCACACACCGTGACCATCTATTATATCTCTCCACTGCTTGCAAACTGATCTGCAATTCTGTATTAGATCTTGATGTGGCACAAACGATAAAACATCTACCAACAAATCATCAGGAATTGAAAACTCTTCACAACTTTCAAACGATGAATACTCTTCCCTCGCACATTTCTGTTGCAACTGCTCAGAGCAAGAATTCATTTTCGATGCTTTCGCACCCATCACGAATTCAGAATATCACAACAATTCGAAATCGAAACAAACAGTTTGGTGCATTTCATAACAACACCATTTTGCCCGAAGCATTGTTAGCCGCCCGTCCGTTACGAACTCGTCGCCGCTTTTTCGGATGGCCAAGAGTCTCCTTTCCCCATCGATGACGACTAGCTGATAGCTTTGCACTTTGTAATCGATTACGAAGTCTCGATACTCTGTTTACGTTTTAGGCGGAATTATGGAAATTTTGCGGAACGGAAAAGGGCCTTCACCTTCATATTTTATTTTATTTATTTATTTTTTTGCGGTATACGAGACTGGGCGCAATGCGAATAAATCTGTATGATACACAGAAACTTGCTCATATTGCTGATACAATGATCAAGAGTATTGATATGTTTAGTTCATTTCTGTTGTTAAAATAAAAAACCGCAATTGTGCATGTAATGAGTGTAAACAATAATGAAAATTTAGATATGTCTGTATTGTTGACTAAGTAGTAATAATGCCTGATTGTAAAATATATATTAGACTACTACTGATTGTATATGTACGATTTAAAGTAATAATTACGTAGGGTAGAACACAGCAAAAGAATCACTGAATTTTTATTTATTTGAATGACCCATAATTTTTGTTTTGTTCATAGGGATATATCTTTTTTAGGTGATATATCTATTTTAATATATTGTGTACTTAATTGTGTGTGCATATATATACGAAATAAACGGGCCTTAAAACTTGGGTTGATTTAGTAAAAAAATTAAATATAGTATAATGTGTTATTATAAACATTATAATACTATACCACACAAGCACTTTCTTATATATGTAATATAATCTTAGAGAAATACCAACTGAATCCTTCTTTGAATATCTATAATATTCTCTGACTGTGTTGTTTCATATACAATGATCAAGCAAAGACAGCGTTAAAATTTTGCTCCGAACAGCTGAGATGCGTGTCTTAAATTTTGTACTAAACAGCACAAACTTATGTCTGGAGGAAAGAAATTTATAAATTTTGTTTTGTCTACGATTTTCATTTCTCTACATCGAAAAATTATACTGGGGTGGGGGCACCACTTCACTTAACATTTGATTTCAAGTGGCATCTGATGTTTTATGTCAATAAAAATATGACAGTTCATCCTAATTTTAATCTCTTCTTTATTGTTAGCTTTTAAGAAATTTGCTTCTTATTTGCATTTTGTTTCTCTTTCTGTCAGTAGATGATATTAAGGATTTGGTTTTTATTATTTAACCATACTCTCCTCTCCAATTTCTTTCTGTTGCTTCTCATGTAGGCACATGTTTCTTTTTCATTCTTGCAGCAGATATTAAGATGTGTAGTGCTTCAAGTGAACTAATATTTTGTGGATTTTTTGTTTGCTATTGATTTCTTTTTAAATTATAATCCTGCTTAGTGTTAAGATTTATGCGCTGTTTATATCTGGTAATTAATAATAAAAAAACTATGTATTTTCATCATTTTGTGTACATTTTAACCATACAATTATTTTTGTATGCGAATAAATTTGTATTTATTGACTTTTCTTTACACCCAATTATCCCTAAAGTATATATGCTATGCTGAATGCATTATTTCAGATTCAAAATGTATACACAGAGAGATGCATATCACACTATGATGATAACAAAAGTGGTAATTTAATAACATTGACATCAAATATCACCTAAGACAACCACTTCCATAGAAAATTTTTTGTAGCAGCTGTGTCTGACTGTCTTACAGAAGTGTTTTGTAATTTAGAATTAACTCGCTGTAATACTGATGCAATTTAAGGTTACTAATATGTGCATTCAGCTGTTTTTCTTTATTAGTTCAAACAACCCATGTTATTGATCAAAAAGCAATACCTTATCATTAGTCATATTATAAAAAATTAAAAAATGGCTTTTGGAAATTTTCCTCCTTATGCAATGATTTCCAGTTTGGTAAAAAAGCTTTCATAAGTTGATCTTACTATGGGCACGTATTGCATTTTATTTAGTGTTAAAAATCATTTCTATGGTATATGTACATATTTTTACAGTTTTTAAAATACTTCAGAAATTCATTATCTCATGCAGAAATTCATTATATCACAAGGCATGCATAAAATAAGCTTATTTCCTTGTACTATTATTAAGCTGTCCAGAAGAAGCCTTTTTTTGACAATGGATCACTGAAAGTTATGCTGTATCTTTCTGTTAATTAGAAAATAATTTTGGATAATAAAATAAATGTATTAGAAAAATATTATATTAAAATGATATTTTTAAAACACATAATTAAATTAATGTATTAGAAATCTGTAATTTAAAGCAAACCTTCGTTCTTCAACTACATATTCATTTCCGATACCCAAAGGCTAATTCCATCATAATAACTTGTATTTTAACTCGTCATTATTCAGCAAAACTTTTTGATTAAAAAATTCTGTATTCGTCCTTTGTGATAAAAGCCCAAGATACGAACCTCCACCATCTGCAAAATGCATGGCTCTCTTTGTACAGGATCTCTGTGGCTGTTACTGGAAGCCTAGAGTATGTTCAAGCAGTAGTAAATAGGCTTCCTTATTCTCTGTTTATTTAGTGTGTGATATATTTGTTTGTGTGTGTTTATTTGATAGTGTGTCTGTATAAATACTTTTGTCTGCCATTGGAAATAAAAATATATGCATTACAAATCCGAGTTATTAAGTATATTAAGGCTGTTTACATTTTTCATTCCAAAACATATATTCAATTAAAATACATTATGCAATTTGTGTTCATCTACATTTGTTAATGTTTAATTAATGCCAACAGAAACATGTTCGCATAAATTCCTCTAAGTAATTTAAACATGAGGTTGTTTAAGAAGGCCATTTTTTATCCATTCATTTATTGAAATATTTGCATTACTTCTTATATATTAAAATTTACATATATTATGTACTTTTTTCAGTAGACAATCCAAGAATATTCTATATGTTAAAATGTATGGTATATGCAATAATTCCCCCCCCCCAAAAAAAAGAAAAAAAAAAAAACTTATCCTCTATTTGTGATCTTATTATCTGATTGTGTCTTCTTCAAAATACACAAATAATCTGATGGAATGAAAATATTTTGGTCATTAAAACTTTTTAATCACTGCTCTTTACATCTACATTTCTTTTTTCACATAATCTGAAGTTTTCGAGTAGTCTGAAGGTTTTCAAACTGTGTTTCACAGAAATTTTAGATACCATGCAACTCCTCTAGGGCATCTGTAAGTCAAAATTTAAAACAATTTTTAATATCACTGGACATCAAAATGAAATACTTGAAATAATCTTTGAAATTCTTTTATTATTGTTAAAAAAATATTAAGCAGATTTTTGTTTATGATTAAATTTATAATGAAATAATGAATTTCTTTTTACTTTCTGCATAAAATGCACAAATTTTATATTTCAATTCTTTAACATTTATTTTTCTGAGGATAGAAATTCTTCTATAGAAAAAATTACGATTTTAGAAGTTTTTCTGAATTTAAAGATTTGAAGACAACCCTGTTATAAGGGTTTACGATTATAATGTGAATGACCCAAATAATTGTAAATGGCCTATGGCCATACTTAATACACATATTATTTAAATTGACATGCTTTACCTGTAATGTACATTTGTGACTTATGTTATAATTTAAGTGCACCAGTTTACTCACACTTATCTGTATTGTATGTATGTATTATATGCATCTCTATCTCTAGACTCAGGTTAAAGCTAGCTCGTTTCCCCTTTCTCAGCTTTCCCAGATGACATTTTTGGGTCTTTACTGGAACTCGACGCACACTTTATTTCGGCTAGAATAACCACTTATCTCACTCTTCTTTTATTCAAAAATTATAACATACTAATTTGGGGAAAAAATTATATTTTATGTTAGTTACTCATGACAACATTCGAAACAACCTACATGTTCGACAAGGGGTAGGGGTCTAGGAAAGCCACAACTTTTTCAATGAACTGGATGAATAAATGCAGCCCTGCCTTTTGTTGTGTTTTATGCATTTATAAATTTCTACCTGACTGTTTATTCTTTAATTCTATATAACACAATTAATCGATGCTTGTTTCTTGTATGGAATTTTAACATTAATTCTACATAATAACATGAGTAATCTTTTTTTTTTTAAATTGTATTTTAGCATTATTAAAAAACACTTTGGCACTATGAACTGAGAATATCTGTCAATCTGTCTTCTACATTAATTTACAATAATATAAATGTGAATATCTGAATGGAGTTATATTGAAAGATCTACTGGATGCTATGATTCCATGATGGTCAATCCACCACATTGGAAATATTAAATCAAACAAATAAGTACAGGAAAAGATTCAGCAAGACAATATATCCTCTTTTGAATGAATACATTTAACTGTAGTTATTCCATATGATGTATTATACAACACCCCAAAATCATGGAAAATAACTTTCTAAACCAAGTTTACAGTGTAAAAAAAGTAGTGGAAAAATGTTGTAGTCATGTAACTGGGCTATCTAACATAAAAATTACAGCATATTACACCAGTGTTCTTACCTTTACTGCATATTACAACCAAATAACTACAATTAGATATGAGAAAGAACAGGCAGTGTCAGTACAACCAGAGTAAAACTTTTACAGAGTTGCTAATTTGAAAACAAGTGAACCTGTAAAACTAACCCTGCATACTGGTTTGCTTTAGATGCATTTGGTAACCAATATGCCGTAAGTCTGTACCAGATTCAGTTTTGAGTGCATTAAATACTATATTGCTCATATGTCTTGATCGTGACAATCAATGCAGCTGCAGCATTATTGAATAGAAATAAGTTATATGACTCTCAAATAAGTGTTTGTAAAGTTGTTCAGGAAATAAATATTACTAAATAATAACATGTATTATGTTTATTGAATTGTACAAAACTTATATGTTATACTTTGAATTATCGTCAATTTTAATTGTCTGAAATCTGGTATTTGATAGTATAGTTGTAGCAGTTTTTTTCACTATAAATTCTGAAGAATCCGAAAATAAATGCACATACTAAAGTATTTCAAGTATGATAATATTCAGTATTTAAGATTAT